CTGCATTAGCATTAGTTAATTATATTACATTTAAGTATGGTGAGAGGTACTGCGAGGCTATGGTCTCCTTTTGCGAAAGCGGAGCTCCTCTGAGTGGACGACCCCCTCCCTGACCCGCTTCGAAGATGGCGGCCGGGGAGACGAAGGAGACAGTACGTCCACCTTCTTCCCCCGCCGTAGGCTGGGGTAGTGACCTTACGACCAAGCTTGAAGGTGCCGTCTAACCTCGGGTATCCTCCAAAGGCCTGGACCCGCTCCCTGCGGGCCATTCACCGAGACATCCCAGTAACATGCGCAACTGGACCCTGGGGCTCCTGCTGGAGTTTAAGGGGTGTACGGGGCTGCCACCAGGAAGTCCCACATAACTGCTTTTTGCTCCACCGAGCCAAGTTGTATGCGAATCGCATTTCCTATTGATAAAAAAAGGTATAGCGTCTTCCCATCACCCAATTAAGCTCTTGCGAGTGTACATATATAGGGTAAATACTTTATGATAAACCCGTATCAATCGAGCTCATGGGAATAAAAGTTTTACACCTGTCACAAAATGTTTTAATTAAACCGAAACTTAACACAGCGTTTTGACGACGTACACAGATAACTTTTGTTATACGACGAAAATCTCACGTTTTTAAAATTTTCCATACTAATGGAAAATCAGCTGATATATGCACAGACTAAGGATTACGGTGATATATGGGTTTTTGTATGCGAAAGTAAAATTTATATATCGAGTTCTTAGGTTTTCGCGATTGTTATACATAGGAAATGAAACTATTTTTCAGCATTTAAATCGCGTATATTTGTTTTTTCAAACAAACTAACGTTCAAAAACTAAAGGAAAGATTATAATGATTTGTTTGATAGATATACATACAAATTTAGAAATTTAATATTTTACTGAACTCCACATGTCTGTTGTACACATTGGGTGCAAAGCGGTTAAAAAAGCGGTCCATTACTATTGACAAACTCTATCTACGACGCGCGGTTCAATATGTAACAGAAGCAGAAAATTTGCGTAGAAGAAGAATAGAACTCTAATTTTAATTAAGTATTGAAGTTCTTTTTCTTTCGAAAGCCGACACTCGAGCATAAGTGTTTCGAAAACAAGTATCAAGTTTCCATCACGCTTTTTTTAACATTTGCATAACATTGTTGTCAATGAATGATCAAGGTACTGAAACAATTTTTTTAAATTAATTATAAAAAAGAAAACTGCGTAAAGGATTTTTCGGTTTTTTGTAATTTTTGAGGTCAATAACATAAAAAGATACATTTAACTTACGTTGTACATTAGACATAGAAGAAATTTATCTAGCCATTTTACTTTGGAAAGTAAGTTATTTCTACTGAAAAACTAACAAATTTCTTTTCCCTTGATAACAGCCGAATGATTCTTGTTGTTATGAAATTACAAAATACTGTATTGAACAAGTGTTTTGGTTTGATACGACAGAGTAGTACTTAGTAAGTAGATACTGTTTATAACCATAATTGAAGCCTATAATTAATATATCAAACGGCTATAAACATGTCGAGGCCTCAGCGCTCTGCTACTAAAAATACCCATTACGACGGTGACACATTAGACAACCTTGTTACTATTTTTATGCCTTTAATCACCGTCCTTTTTTCTACACACTTATAATTTATGAATATTATATATATGTATATGATATGGGTTGCTATTTAAAAGGGTTCATTTGAATCATGAACGTATTCCAATAGACCCTTTTAAAATAATGAGCTTGCCTATATCAATGTCGGCAATTTGCAAGATATCTACGAACATCATACTTTCGAGAGTTCGTCCAGGGAAGTACTGCCACCTTACCTGTTTCCGCCGCCAAGCAGTACTATCAGCATTACAGTGTTTCGGTTTTGAAGGGTAAGGGTGCTGGTGAAATTACAGGCACTTGTCAACTTATGTCTAAGGGTAACGGGCACAGTGGCAGTGCCCCTCAGATCTTTGCGATTTAAAGCTCTGAGTGGCATTGCAACTGTTATAGACAGGCGTGTAGCCTACCATCAGGTGGACACCTTGTTCGTCCCGCCACTTGATATAATTAGATTAAATCTAAAATACAATGTACTTTTAAGATTCCATAATTAGCCATAACAACACGAAATTACCCAAAACAACACTGAACAATTTGAGAAAGGCATGTGAGCACGAACTTTGTTGCTGGCCGAGCTATTATTCGCAATTTTATGTAAATTTAAACAACGTTTGTAAAACACACGTTGGACTACATTTTGTGCAGAAAAATAAAGATATTAAAAGTTTATTTTAAACTACTCTGTACCTGTTGTTTTCTAGTTTAATAATTCAAATGTGAGTTTAAATTTTGTATAAAAACATTTTATTAAACTTGACCAACTTCTGTCGTCCCAATTTTTTTCACCCATACAATGAAACAATAATAACAAGTAATAACAAACACACTCAAATGATTCTAACATGAAACTGAGTCGATCAGCACTAAAAAATTTGATCAGTTTTATTCATTTTTATGCACAATTCACACTTGACCAAATAATTGACTATGCCATTATATTTTTATTTAATTAAAAGATAGTTTTATTACTTTTTTATAGCTGTTTTATTATCGGTAAACTTATTGTTACCTTTTAAAGTAGGTTGACTAAAGCCTCTCTACGAATGTCATATTAAATGTATGGGAGCGTTTACTATTATAATTTTGGATATTTTCAGTTTAATTTTTTTTAAAGTTATTGATGTCAATTTACCCATTGGGTAACGTACTTTCGATATTAGTTTAAGGCTTTTTGATATCTCTTATATTTATGGCATAATCGCTTGAGCACATTGAACGATAACACGGCGTAACGACCACAGACGATGGGAGGAGGAGGATTTTATGTTATTATGTGTAGTTCGGTAAAGAGAGAGATAGGATCGTTCGTTTGATGAACAGTGTCGCCGCCGACGCACATTTTGCGAGACAAGGCCCAGCGCCCAGTGATCGGACGGCACGGCGGAGGTACGATTTTTAGGGGACGAATAGTAATATACCTCAATTTTATGACATAACAGCTAAAACGTCGATGGTAATAGTCGTAGCTACGAAGCTAGACGCCTCCGGAATGCCTCGGCAGCCTTCGGGATTCTTCAGCAGGCTTTGACGTTTAACAGATCTGAACAGAGACTAGGCGCGAGCACGATATCGCGACGGTATGCTTCGGCATGCCTAAGCATGAAGAGCGTTTGTGCACTGCATGCGATTCGTATTCATTCCGAATCTGAGACTATAAAAATCTAGGAAACTCGGACCCACTTCAGATGTTGCTTGTGCACTAAGTCCGATGCGAACCCGAGAAAATACGAATAATTGCTTGTACACCTAGAGACATCGAGTATATAACCAGAAATAGAGACGAAATATCGTTTAATTTGTTTGAAAACTATTCTGCCATATCATTACTGTGACAACCGCACTCCGATTGGCCAGTCCGAGTTCGAAACAATTAACCGGTGTCGTCAATGGGTGTCGTCAACTGTTTCACTTCAAATCTAACTAGTTAACTTGAGCTTTGCTATAATGGACGAAAATTGCAAAATTACATATTTAATATTTAATTACCGATACCGAAATGTCATTCCGTTTGTTTTGTATGTAATTAGATGTTTTGCTGTTTTTCCCACACCAGCGAATAGAACAGCACGACATTGTTAGAGATATTGTCTTTTTTACAATAAATACAGATTTTTTTTGGAATATACGGAGACGTACATACAGGTCAGTAGTCTAGTAGTAGCCTGTCTATATTTCAGTGCAAACGAGAGTTGATATTCATAAGAGCTGTATGTTATCAGGAATATGTGGCCCGTATTTCGTTTCTATTTCTGGTTATATACTCGATGCCTAGAGATAAAATGATTCCTGTGACGTTTTGGATCGTCATTTCTCGGATTCGGAACTGATATGAATCGGGACGTAGTGTGTAAATGCTATTACGCTGTACGTTTGCCGTCTGAGTGCGCTTGCATTTAGGAATGCAGAAGGAACGCTTATCATACCAACTCGGCAGTGGGCGCCGGGCCTAAGAAAGTATTCTTAATATTATGTTAAGTGCGCTGCCGTCCGTGAATTATGTATAGATCTAAAGTCTTTTGTAACTCTAAGTGTGCTGACTCTACTCACTGTTCAATTCGGAACATAGCAGTTTTACGAACAAACATAAGTAGAGCGGTTATATTTACCCAGTGCAGACAACCAGCCACCAGCAAAAGAAGGAGAGTATTATTCGGAAACATTTGATTGTTCCCTAAAATTGGATGCAATTTCGTAAAATGATATGAATATTATAAAAAAAAAATATGGGTATGTTTAGAATATGAAATCATACAACTTTTTCTGTGGAAACTATACCTATAAAATTAAAACATTGCTATGAGCATATCTTACGAAACCAAAAAACAGTACATAAGTCTTATAATAATAATATGTGCCTGACAACCACGCCAATGGCCTTGTCTCAAACTAGGGAATTCCCTGTACTATGAATACCAGAGCAACGGAATTAACTCCGAGGTACTTCCCAGAATACCCAGACTAGAACAACTTCACAAAGGTACATTTTCCAAATTGGTCCTTCCGGGAATCGAACCGGGGAACTCCGCATCCTGCGCCCGCAATGTAAAAAATATAAAGAGTAAATGCATATAAAGTGAGACTTTATAAATGTTATAATAAGTTGTCAAGAGTCATGATTACAATAATTACGTTTTAGATAATATGTAAATCGTAATTTTTGTAATCATGATTCTTAGTAATTATATTATAATTAAAATTTACATTATTTACATTATGAAATATTGCACTATATATTATATCATTATAACATTCCCATGATGACCTTCATTACGGGTATCGAGTATGATTAGGGGCCTCATAGGAAAAGTCTTAAGTGCACAAAACGCCTGCTAAATGCCATAGTCGCGAGGAATTCATTCAGTTCGCCGCGAGCTACGGGAAAGAGCGGTCCTCTACGCCGTAGTTAGCTACGACGCTATTAAATTCACGTAGCTGTCGCGTAGTAACTTTGTTCGTAGAGTTAAGGTAACTGTAATTTTTAGTAAAAATGTTAATGTAAGTATGTAATGTACAAGTAATAAATGTGTGTTGAGTGTAAAATAAAGTGAGTGACATTAGGGGAGGGTGGCTGAATAGTGTACGGTAACCTACTTAATGCTTCGTTATACACCGGAGGTGAGTAATGACTTTTATATTCATATTACAAAAGTATAATTTAACGCTGATGCATGAGATTATTTAAAAGTCCGTGTGGTATTGAGGCCATGACATGATGGCCATGGGCCATGTTGAGTGTGTGCGTTATTGTTAATTATTATTATTATTAAAGTATATGAAAACATATACAAAATAAATAAATATCAAACCATAATCATTCTGTATTGGCCATGTTGATCTATAATCATTGGCTATCCTGTTGGTAATTTTAGAATTTCCATTTCATAAAAATACCTCTCTAATTGTTGTTTAATGGTCACGTCACTTTGTCTCTTTATTATCAAAGTGTAGAAGACTCAAACTAAACTAAAATCTGAAGAGACTATTTTGGGCAAATACGGTAGATGAGGTAACACATACCACCTAATTGCAATGATTTTTGACGGCATGTGATATTTGCGAATCGGCGTTATCATGATGAAATTTTACAATTCACCAGATGTGGGAGTTTTATTTAAAAAAATTACTTAATTTAATTTTTAAAATGTTCGTATACAACATATCCAAAGAAAAGATTCCTTTTTTTTCTGTTTAAAATTAGCTAGTGGCAAAAACCACACGGACTTTTTGGGCAACCCATTCAAAATCCTTAGCAACGTTTCTTCTCTTCCATGCAACATGTTTGCCAAATAAAATTTTCATAATTTACAATTCCATGCCCAAATCTGATAATACCGTGCTCTAAGCGCGGAATTGTCAGATACAGTCACCTTGCTTTCAAACCACAAAATAACATAAAAAGCAAACTGTATTTCCAAAATGATTTTGCAGATCATTTATATTTTAATGATATTCTAACCTTTCAAATATGATAAAACGATTACTTAAAATAAAAATGCAATGTGGCTTACCTCTTACCGAAAACACGAGCGATCGAACGATCGCTCAAAATGAAGCGATAGCGTGCATGCGGGGCATAAGACGTGTCAGGCTATGATCCTGGGCTACTGTAAACTCTAAATAGCGTGTAGTTATTGCGATATACAGAGGCGCGAAATTATTAGCCGCGCGGTAATACCTAACTCTCCCCTACTACCGAACTTTAAAAGTATTATAATGGAAAGGATTTAGTAGCCTTTACGAAATTGCCTCATGGATTGATGTTTATGGGCAATGAAAGTGTCCTAGATAGGAGATGACAATAGATCAATTACTGGTCCCAGTGATGAAGGGCTGCACAGGCCCTAAATGACACCACCCTAATAAATCCTAGATACGACACTTCATTTTACCGAGGGCTTCTTCATTAATAACTCATAGAGTCCTACTTAAAGCTAGTTACGCCTTTACGACATCCTCTGCACCCAACGGTTAGCATCGTTGACACTATATGAGGATGATAAGAAAAACTTTTCTAAATTCATAGGTTTGGGTGTTCTGTGCAGTAATCCGAATGTTGCTGCTCTGATGTTCATATTTTTTTATGATATCTAGTGAGGACCCTTAATAGTGGCAGTGCTACTCAGTGCTTTAAACTGCAAAGATCTAAGAGACACTGCCACTGCACCCGCATGAGTCGACAAGTCCCATGTGTCAGTAATTTCACCAGCATCCTTACCCTTCAAAACCGGAATGCCGCAATAGTGATTTGATGGTTTATTTGGAAAAACAAGTACATGCGATTGAGATCCGAGACAAACTCATTTTAAACATGCAAGTCTCTTATAATCTCTCTTCGTACAATATTTTACGAATTTAGTGTTATACGTGTACAAACTTATTGATTTTGGGTAAACTATAATTATTAATACAAAGATCGAACACTCAGAAAGAAATGTAAGAAAGAAAGAAATGTACTTTATTCAGCACAATACACGTGGAGTGCAATATTAATAATTAGTATTAAAGTGTATTATTGCACTGAAAAGGACCCAACTCAGCTAATGCTGCGGCAGGGCCACAGCGCTGGTTTTCAGTGGACCCTTTTCGAAAATGCCGATTAAAAGAAATAAAAATATATGAATAAAATAAAAACAAACGTGGACGCGAGTTAAATAAAAATTTAAACATGAAACAATATAATTAAATAGGAAACATAACACAAATTTCAGCTAATGTCTCAATAAAGATTCACTCTGCTTTTTCTTTTTAATTTTGTGTTTTGAGGCGCATTTGAAAAAATTCCTTTGATCCAGCCGGATTCGAACCGACATCTTCTAGCATACCGTGCCAGCAGACTGAGAGAGCAACTAAGCCATGGAACGAACCAGCGGACCTTAAGTATTCTTCTATGTTTGTTGTCGTGTCCTTGTATTTGGTTTTTTCAACGACTTTTTTAGCCGTAGCGCCGTTTATGAGAAATCTATGAAAGTATTTCGACACCCAGTTATATACCTTTACAGCTATCAGCCCTAGCTAGAGATGTCGCTATTCATTGTATTTAAATTTTTATTGAATTGATATTCAATTATTTTTTATGTGAAATTACTTCACTAGTTTCTTATAATTATTAATACATGTTTGGGTAAACTACTTAAAAATTGTTATTTTAACAATACTATTTAAAAAATTAGTAGTAGTATCTCCTTGTGAAAAAGTTCGCCCAGGGAAGTATTGCCACCTTACCTATTTCTGCTACCAAGCAGTAATGTGAACATGAATGCGTTTCAGTTTTGAAGGGTCCTGGTGATATTACAGGCGCAATGACTTGTCGCCTTACATCTTAGGGCAACACAGAGGTCTGACGGTCACTGCCACTGTCAAATTTAGTGATTTAAAGCTGAGTGCCACTGCAATATTATGGACAGTTGATAAAACAGTATGATAAAAATAACTATGAACATAATCAGACGAAAAGAAACGTTAATGATTTTTAAGTATTAATCTGCTAAACAATAGTTCATTTACATTTAGTGTCTACTATATAAGTATGCACTATACTTGTATCACTTTTCTATTTTCAGATTTAGATTTCTTAGATTAATACCTACCGATTATTGAAAATATATGATTTACTTTGGTGACATACTGAGTGAGTCTTAACTTTAAGACAATAAATACTATTTATATTTAATCAAAAACTAGCACCCCAAAACCGGTGTTTACTATTTCTAACTGAAAATCCGACTATAATTAAATATTTATTATGCATGAACAGCATCCAAATATAAAACAGTTATTCACGGTAGTATCATTTAAAATAAACTAAAATGAAAAAGAAACTAAATGTAGGTTACGCCACTTTTGCGCTGATTGCCTCAATTTATCAGCTGAAACCTTTTAAGGGCATGTTCAGTACATATACAATTAAGAGAGACCCCTTTCAAATTCCGAATAAAACCTACTCGACCCAAATGTATGAAATAGCTGTTTTTGCTCGCGATTTTAGAGTATGCGTATATAATAAAAGTCCCTTGGTTTCATGTACCGAACATGCTCTTAAAAGGATGCCGCTATGATGCTAATAAATTAGAACGGTATATATAATCTTAAGACTGATGATGAAGAATGATGTGAGCTCTTTTTTAATATGGCAGGCTGGAGCAATAACTCAACGGTGCGGCGGCGTTGTGAAACACACTATTTCGCTGATCTCTAGATCTTTTTGATTTTTGACCACTATTTCAAGAGTTCGTCCAGGGAAATGCTGCCATCTTATCTATTTCTGCCGCTAAGTAGTAATGCGAGCATTACTGTGTTCCGATTTTGAATGATAAGGGCGCTGGTGAAATTTCGGGCATATGGGATTTGTCAACTTATGTCTTTTCGCCAGCACCCTTATCCTTCAAAACAGAAGCAGGTCAGGCAGAAATAGGTAAGGCGGCAATACTACCCTCGACGAACTCTTTCATAAGGAGCTCTACTGCTACTAAAACTTCTTTTTTTGAAGTCGGTTAAAAATAAGGATCATAATTGCAAAGCACTTTTCGGAAACGAATAATTCGTTATTTATGAATTTTTATTATAACTAGTAATTTTGTTAAGAAACGGGAAACAGTGTTAGGTCGTTCTAAATTGAGTATAAGGGTATCAATTTACTTGAATGAAGTAGCACCGGCATAAAGGTTATATTGTGTTACTCATGCAAATAACTCAATTTTCTCGAATAGTCTTACGACATCGATTTATTGAGTAGAAACCTTGAAACGTTATGTAGATACACCGTATAATTTTCATTTTCTATGTTGAAACTTTCTAGAAGGCGACTAGAGATAGTTTTCGAACTTCAATGTTTATTGAACATTTGTTAAATTGAAATAGGTTTCTCTGTTAGTATGACTTGCTAAATAATAAATCAAAATTTATACCCATGGCTAATAATTTTTATTACGATATTAAGTTATTTATTACGATATTTAGTTATTAAGTCACGGGACGAAATAATCATACGCCTGGAGGTAAGCGACACGCCTGTCCAGTGCAGTTGCAGTGCAGCTTAGAGTTTTAAATTGCAAAGATGCCACTGCGCCCGCCACATTGAAACATAAGTTGACAAGTCCCATGTGCTTGTAATTTCACCAGTATCTTTACCCTTCGAAACTGGAAAGCAATAATGCTCATATTACTGTTTGGCGGCAGAAATAGGTACGATGGCAGTGCTACCTTCGACGAACTCTTTCACTATGAGTTCTACTGCTATCAATTTTTATATTCATAGAAAAGCGTTTGACTGCACAAATCCGTCTTTATTTAAAAAAATTACCGCTTTATGTGAAGGCATATATATATATATATATATATATATATATATATGTATGACTATGTGTAATTAGTAGAATAGCGGAAAAAAGGCCAAAAAAATATATATGCTTCAAAAGTCGATTGCTCCTAATGGAATTCCAAAGATATTTTGTTTACAAATTTGCAGATCTTTTTTTAACGGTAACATTTTAATTAAACAGTTATCATTATGGTACAGGGTCAAGAGCACGTCAAGCTTGACACTTAAAATTTAAATCCAACTCTATGCCGCTTTCGATAAGAACGGTTCAAAGTACAAAGTGTCAGGCTTGATGTGC